TCCTAGGATTAGGACTAACAGTTGATGAGGAGTTAGTTACATTAAAAAAAAACTTTGGGCCGGGCGCAGTGGCTCATACCTGTAATCCTAGCTCTCTGGGAGGCCGAGGCAGGCGGATTGTTTGAGCTCAGGAGTTCGAAACCAGCCTGAGCAAGAGCGAGACCCCGTCTCTACTAAAAATAGAAAGAAATTAATTGGACAACTAAAGAAAATATTAGCCGGGCATGGTGGCGCATGCCTGTAGTCCCAGCTACTTGGGAGGCTGAGGCAGGAGGATCGCTTGAGCCCAGGAGTTTGAGGTTGCTGTGAGCTAGGATGATGCCACGGCACTCTAGCCCGGGCAACACAGTGAGACTCTGTCTCAAAAAAAAACGAAAAAAACTTTGTCCATTTCAGGTCTATATACCTTCAAAATCAAGTTATTATGGAAATATTGAATTTACTATATTTTAAAGTCTTCATAAAAATTTTAATACAGTTGTTTCATTGTTCCCTTATTCTGGAAATTATTCATAAAATGACTTAATATATATATAAAAAAACAAAAGGGTTCATGGTGATGGCTATTTTTCCTGATGTATTGACAATTTAAACATGAACAAAAGTTATTTCCAACTCTGTAATAAGTCATCCACCTCTTTTCTATATCATAGCATGTAGTTTTTTCTAATTCCCAGTGATTTTCATAAATTTTATTTTTATTTAGTAAGTTTACTTACCCATCCACTAAGTAAACTCCATAAGGGCAGGGACTGTGTTTGTCTTGTTCATGGCTAATCTCCATCATTTGACCTAGTGTCTGATACATGTAAGTGTGCAATAAAATTTGTCATATACGTGCTGCCTTATAAAATCTGCCCTTTGGTTAGATTTTTGGGCTTTTGTTAGCCAGGGTATCAACAGATCGACCATAGGTTTGGATTTAGTTCAGCCTTTTTTTACTCACTGAAATTTATGTGGGTTCAATTTACCATGTATTTTAGTGTAATCAAGCAGATTCTTTCTTTCCAAACTTTGATGAATGCTGCCTCTTTCAGAAAAGAATCATTGTTTTTAATTTTCTTTCTATTATCTATCTACCTGTCTGACTTGGCAAAGCTAAATTATGATGAGGTTGATCAAGCTTAAAGCATTATTCTTATAATATTTAGCACATAGTTAGAAATTGCATATATCAAGTCAACATGTATTGGCCTCCTACCCACATGGAATGTCAGACAGCTCTAAAAATAGTTTGTCTTGATGAATAGTAGATATCCATTAATTGGTTGTTGAAATAGTTGCCTTTTTGTTGCATTGCAGTAATTCAATAGACCTGCCAAACTTTATACAGTCTATTTGGGCTATATAGGAAAGATACATGGGAATCACCAAATTTATGGATACCATATCTCACAAGTTACAGCCTAATCATGACATATATGAATAAGTAGATGACGATGGAGTGCAACTGGGCAGTGACCGAACAGCACTTATTAACTAGATGACCTTTTTGTGCACATCAACTCCATATCACAGAACCTTTCTTATTACTAAAGGTGTACTGTCAAAACCATGAATAATAAAATCCCTGAACATAAAAAGGCATACTTAATGATAGTCTGCCCTTTATTTTATTTTATTTTTTTTTTGAGACAGAGTCTCACTGTGTTGCCCGGGCTAGAGTGCCGTGGCATCAGCCTAGCTCACAGCAACCTCAAACTCCTGGGCTCAAGCAATCCTACTGCCTCAGCCTCCCAAGTAGCTGGGACTACAGGCATGCGCCACCGTGCCCGGCTAATTTTTTCTATATATTTTTAGTTGTCCGATTAATTTCTTTCTAATTTTAGTAGAGACGGGGTCTCGCTCTTGCTCAGGCTGGTTTCGAACTCCTGAGCTCAAACAATCCACCCGCCTGGGCCTCCCAGAGTGCTAGGATTATAGGCGTGAGCCACCGCGCCTGGCCTGCCCTTTATTTTTTGAGTTAACTATTTCTCATCTCTAAAATCCCCTACTATCCTTCAGATTTTTCTCATCAAATAGAAAAGGGATCACAATTCTTAAGACCTCTGGAGACAGGAGAGCTTTCTTTTTAAATAGAGTATGGTAGAGTTGAGTTACTTTATAACATTGTAAGATGATCATCATAAGCTAGTCAGGCACAGTGGCTCATGCCTGTAATTCCAGCACTTTGGGAAGCCAAGGTGGGAGGATTGCTTGAGCCCAGGAGTTCAAGACCAGCCTGGGCAATACAGTGAGACCCCATTTCTACAAAATATTTTAAAATTAGCTGGGCTTGGTGATACGCACCTGCAGTCAGGAGGTATGCACCCACTTGGGAGGCTGAGGCAAGATCACTTGAGCCCAGGAGGTGGAGGTTGCAGTGAGCTGTGATCTCACCACTGCACTCCAGCCTGGGCAACCAAGCGAGAACCTGTCTCTAAAAAAAAAAAAATCATAAACTATGTTCCTCCTACCTTTAATGAAGTCTCTTTAATGCTCATTCAGCCGCTAAAGAGCAGCAGAGAACTTTATTTCAATAATTAAGCTACACATACACACACACACTCATGTTTTTTGCTGCTTTTCTCCCCAAATTGAACCAGATTAAATAATCCTAGAATTGAGGAGCAATGTCATAATCTTTAAGTGACAATCAACCCTCACTAAAATAAGAATAAAAGAATAGAATAGTTGTGTAGTACACATTTAGGAAAGCCTAGAATAAAAAGAGAAAGAGATATAACTACTTGGGAACAGAAAGATAACATTTTTTTATGTTCAAAAATTAACAAATTAACAACAAACACTAGGTACAGAGATTACATGATTGTTTATCAGACCACTAGTCTCATATTTCTACTTCCACTATAGTACCTTTCCATCTTTTTGAAAGTCAAGTCTGAATTTCTTCAGTGACCTCTCATCATTTAAGGGTGAATCAGATTCTTTAGCTTTTTATTACTAGGTCGCTTCCCATGTGTCCAGCTTGCTTTTTTCCATTTCTCTTCTGCTCCCTGCTCTCTATGTCAAACTTTATGGTATAATAGTACCAATATTCACCAAATACATTGTACTTGTTCATGTTTCTTTTCAAAGTGTGGTCCCCAGAAACATCAGCATAACTTGAAAACTAGTTATTCTAGAAATACAAATTCTTGGCTCCACCCCAAGACCTGCTGTATCAGAAATTGTAGGGAGTAGGGCTAAGCAAGCTCAACAAGCCTTCCAGGTGATTCTGATGTACCTTAAATTTGAGAGCCACTACCTTAATCCTTGTTTCTTTTTTAAGGTTAGACATTAATTACCATATTTTCAATATCACTTTTCATTTATGTGACTCTTAATTTGCACCTCTATCCCAGTGTCAGTCCTATTTTTTAAATTGTGTATTGGACATCATCCTGGATATCCTTCCAATTCTCAAGACTATTTAGGTTCTCAATAAAATTCATTATTTGTTTTGCATACTGTTTCTTATTTTCTCCCAGCCTTGCAGCTTTGAATCTTAGATTGTGCAATATTTTCTTATTATTTTCTATTTTGTTTAAGGAACAACAACAAAAAAAGATTTAAAAATTTTTTTAGAAGCAGGGTTTCACTCTGTTACCCAGGCTAAAGAGTACAGTGGCACAATCATAGCTCACTGCAGCCTAGAACTCCTGGGACCAAGCAATCTTCCTGCCTCAGCCTCCTGGGGTAGCTGAGATTACAGGTGTGAGCCATCACACCTGGCTAAAAAAATATTTTTAAACTCTACTAACCAAAATAGGGTCAGGATTTTTCAGCCAATAAAGTTACCATTATTTGTAGACCCATCTGTTAGAATGTATTTTTATCTCTCTCTCCCTTACTTCTTCCCTTCCTCCCCTCCCTTTTCCTTTTCCTTCTTTCTCTCTTAAGAACTTAAAGACTATTTACTTTGAATTTGACTTCAGTTGTCCAAGTTCTATCATAAAGCTGGAGGAGTCCTTGACCCTGGGCCAATAGGATGAAAGCTTATACTAGCATCAAAAGTTAAAACCAGGCAACATTTCAGATATTCCTGTACAGATCCTGCAGTAGGTTCTCAAGAAATATTTTTTAAATTAATAAGTTAGTAAGCAGATAAGTCTCCAAGGACTGGGCAGATCTCCAGGGTCAAAAGAGCATAGTGAGATTGTGGCTAGAGATGTAAGAAACTTCAAGGATTTAAGCAATAAGGAGTGAGAAATTTTGACTCTTAATAAATATTTGATAAATAAAAGATGTTAAAGGAAAGAATAAATAGCTATTGTCACAAATGGTTAGATACTTCCTTCTCTGAAGGAGGAAGGATAATCTAAAACACTATTTCAGTATAAACTTTCAAGTTTAATTTTTTAAATTTGTGTTTATATGTGTGCCTCCCATTTAGTTTGATATACATTTTAAATTTCTTATGTTGATTTATGTAACAGTTACATTCTAATGATTTGAAAGTATATCTAAGACTATGAATTTTTTTTTTTTTTTTTTAGACAGAATCTCACTGTGTTGCCCAGGCTAGAGTGCCATGGCGTCATCCTAGCTCACAGCAACCTCAAACTCCTGGGCTCAAGCGATCCTCCTGCCTCAGCCTCCCAAGTAGCTGGGACTACAGGAGTGTGCCACCATGTCCGGCTAATTTTTTCTATATATTTTTAGTTGTCTGATTAATTTCTTTCTATTTTTAGTAGAGACGGGGTCTCGCTCTTGCTCAGGCTGGTTTCGAACTCCTGAGCTCAAACAATCCACCTGCCTCAGCCTCCCAGAGAGCTAGGATTACAGGCGTGAGCCACCACGCCCGGCCTAAGACTATGAATTTTAACTGTTCCATTTTTGTTGAACAAGAAAGACAGTAACATATCTTTTAAATTGTATGTTTGAATTACCTTACATATGAGGAATTTTTATATTTGAAAATTATTGTTATATATCTATCCTCATAACGAGATATTCTTTCGTAAAGAACATATATCATGTTTTAATTTGAAAACCCTTTCTTTTTAACATACACACAGGAAGCCTCGACCTGTCTCCCAGTTGGTTGCACAGCAGGTTACTCAGCAGTTTGTGCCCCCTACACAGTCAAAGAAGGAGAAAAAAGATAAAGTAGAAAAAGAAAAATGTGAAAAGGAAACAACTAGCAAAAAGAACAGTCATAAGAAAAGCAGGTAAATTTGAAGAGTTTTATGACATATTTGAAATAATAAAATTAGCCATTTAATATTCTTTTTTAACATTGGTATACACAGAGTGAAAGTAGAAGATTTGATGTCCTTTATTATAAAGTATCATGAAAGTTTTTTCTGAATTTGATAGATACATTGAAAATGAAACACAGATGCCACAAATATAAGCTTAAATGTGATGCTTTTTTCTTTTTACTAGATTAAAAGATATTTATGTACTTTTTTATTCATAAAAAGCTATTTGAAAGCCAGGAATGGTATTCAGCATACTGAATAGATATTTGCGTGGCCTTTAACCAATCAAAATGGTCATGGGTTCAGTCAGAACAGTCATGACACCCTTATCAGTGAAGTAACAAACCTGCATATAGCTCAACTTCAACTTTTATCAACTTCCTCTATGGTGCAAATATTTCATTGTTGTCTAGAACATTTATTTTTATAAAATTAATAAGCTGTCTACAAAATTATGTTGTAGCTATAAATGCACAGTTAAAATACCACTATCAGGCTGTCACAGTTTTGTTTTGTTTTTGTCTCTTTGAAGAAGGTTCATGAATGATTGATTTGATTCAGGTTAATGATTTGAAACATTTGTTGATGTTTTTATGGCTGGTTACATATGAATCACTTTAAACATAGATATATTCATTTTGTTACTTTTACCTACTTTTGTTATTTGTTGTGTGCTCAGAAATTTGGTAGAGTGAAAAGCTAGTTTAAAATTTCATCATTTTTTGTGTTTAGGCCAAGATTGAAAAATGTGGATCGGAGTAGTGCTCAGCATTTGGAAGTTACCGTTGGAGATCTGACAGTCATTATTACAGACTTTAAGGAGAAAACAAAGTCACCGCCTGCATCTAGTGCTGCTTCTGCAGATCAACACAGTCAGAGTGGCTCTAGCTCTGATAACACAGAAAGGGGAATGTCCAGGTCATCTTCACCCAGAGGAGAAGCCTCATCATTGAATGGAGAATCTCATTAAAGTTTATTTTCTCCAATTTCTTAGTCACTTCTGTCCTACCATGCAAATAAATACACAGATTATGCCAAGAAGTACCACATTTTCATGACTAACACATTCATGCACAATCCATAATTTGAGTTTTACATAAAATAGAAATTTGTTAGAATCTGTTAGATTTTATTGCAATCTATGCCTACAAAACATTTCCATCCTTAACATTTTGGTCTCTGCAGTTAAGTGCCATGAAAATGTGGTTGAATTATTCATTATGCAGTGTTATTGGTAAGTCTGTTTTCACTTTTAGTTTAGTGAATTCTAACACATAATTCTTGAATTCTCTACTATTGGCATGTAACGACTTTAAATTTTTTATAACATAGTGCAAGCTGCCTAAATATGTATTTGAGAATTGTGAAACAAATAGTTATATGTATACAAGTCAAAGATCAACTTAATCAACTATTGCTGCAACAGGATTTTCTTAATGGTTATCCTCTTAAATACACCTGCTGGTACTTGGTGTGGTTAAATAGGAAAATTATTACTAAATAAAGAATTTGTATGAACCTTTGCCAATGTTTTTGACACGTTTTACTAAATTATTGTTTCTGAATTATGTTTCTGGTATTATCCATTTTTTGGATTTGTTTGCTTATTTTTCAAAACATTCATTTATTGTAATGTTTACTAGCAGATTAGTAAACAATAAAACATTGATTATTTAGCTTTGTATAATTCAGGTTTAGTGCTATTGTCATTGAACACTGGTATTTTCTGTATTATATAAAACATTAAAATTCAAATAATTATAAGCATTTGGCAAAAACAGAATAGAAAAGAAACTTGCCATATTTTAAAAGCTGCAATTTTAGAAAAGCTTTAACTTAATGATAGTTTTATCACTGTTTCCTTGTCCCAGACTTATCCAGGGTCATAGAAGTATGAATCTAAATACAGAAATGGTAATTGTTGCACAGAAATGAGAAATAACTAATCTTAAATCAGTTTAATTGGCTTCTTATTAAATATAACAATTCTTATGAAAGTCATAGTACCCTATTTTCAGACACAACTGCCAGCTTATGCATTTATCAATATCCTCAAAAAAAAAGTATTTACAGCCCCACTCAATATTATGTAAAATTACCAATAAAATATTTTTATGACTACAGATTTTGCATTTTTGTTTACAACTAATAAAGTGTTTTATGTTGTACTTAAAAATTCAACCTGGAAACCACACAGTACTTCTGAAATTCTCCTAGGGTCTCCTGCTTTCTCTTAACCATTTGCTTATTATATATCCACCTTTAGGAGACTTCTGAAATGTAAATGAACTTATTATAAAAATATAACTTGAATACAAAATATCACATAAAAGACATCATGATAACATTTGAAGAAGAAAATAAAACTGTAGACCCTGACAGTTGTGATATTTGGTGGTTTCACGTGGTAATGTAATTTTCTGTTTAATTCAAGTACTTTTTACAGGCACAATGGTACTGTCTTTTTTGTAAGATGCTAGTTGTGAAATAGTTAATTGCATACAGTAAAAGTCTGTGATTAAAACATTTATATACCTCATTCTTTAGTGTTATTAAATGAAAAATTAAAATTTGTGTTTATTATAAGATATTTTCAGTGGAATACTAAGTGGTTATGTTCTTTAAAAACATGAGTTTTTTTTTTGCCTTCTGTTTTTTTACGTTTCATATGTTTTATGTATTCATTTATGGAGATAGTAAAAATTGAAAATAATTGTAATAGGGAAAGTATTCTAAGTTTTTAAGTCAAAACTGTGCTTTAAAGGCATTGCATCTTGTGATGATCAAATACTTTCAGGTTGTATTTTAAATAAGCTGCAAGAAAGGAAAATCTGACAGAAGATGGGATTTTACCTGAATGGGACATACTCATCTACATAGGTGGGAAGACAATGTATTATGGCTAGTAGGAGTGATAACTGGCCTCTAGTGTTTGAATCCCTCTTGTAGAATGGAAGTGAGCTTGAGTAAATTACTCATCTATAAAACAGATAATGATAATCATATCTAACTTACAGGGTTGAGAGGATTATATGTCAATCCATATAAAATTATTATTATTTTATTTTTTGAGATGGAGTCTCGCTCTGTTGCATAGGGTAGAGTGCAGTGGTGTCATAGTTCACTGCAACTTTAAACACCTGGACTGAAGCGATCCTCCTGCCTGCCCCTCCATCTCCTTTCCCTCACCTTCCAGTAGCTTCCAGACTACAGGCTCAAGGCACCATGCCCAGCTAATTTTTCCTATTTTTGGTAGAGACAGAGTCTCACTTTTGCTCAGCCTGATCTCAAAATCCTGACCTGAAGGGATCCTCCTGGTCCAGAGTGCTATGATTACAGGTGTGAGTCACCACCACACCTGGCCAAAAATTTAATTTTGAAATATAGTAGGACCTTCTAACTTACATACTTTTGTATTGTTGGGAAATTTTTTATAACAAGCTTGTATTATATTCACAATTAAAAAGGAAGATACAAGTGAAAATATAATCAAAGTTCCTTCTCAAATCATAAAATATTATATTAATTCCTATGAATTTTAACAAAAGCCAGTTAGTGCGAACACAGATTCTAGCCTCACTGAAGTTGAAGTCCAGATAAAATTATTTATATGGACTAATTCAATTACCTGACCTATACTGGTTTTTCAGTAAATGTGAGCCTTTACTATCATAGGTAAAATCTCATTACAAAAATACAAAAATATTTTTGTAACAAAAATTATTTTCATGCCCTCTTGGATTGCCCAAAGGAATAGTGTTTTACAGTTTTCACTGAATTTTCATTGTAGCATCAGATGTTTGCTCTGGACCCAGAAAGACCATCTTTCCATAATTAAAGAACTTGATAGTATGTACCATTAGACTGGAAAAATGAACTAAGTTGACTATTTTGAAATTTTCCTTTTATTCATTGCAATTATCTTTATCTACCTTTGTTTCACCCTACTTCAAATATACTTCCATACCGGGAAAACAATGAAATAAATACACCTAATGTTAAGATATGCAAAAAGATTCAGAGCCTGGGCTCAGGGTACATTTTTCACTGTTTCATCAATTTACAATGTGGGTTTAGCAGTGGGTTCTTTTAACCAAATTGAATACAAAAAGAATTTGGGAATTTGGGTGTTTTTCAGGGTTTATTTTCTTTGATATAAGTAAGAGTGAAGATACATGCATTCAAAATACATATTCTTAAAACCATTTGTAATTATACAATAGAAATAAAGATTTTATTTTTATTAAGTACTTTCCTGAAATTGTAGTGATGATAATAGACAAGGTGAAAACAAAGGAAGAAAAAACTTCAGCTTTTCTAAGTTGATAGCATATGTATTATAGATAAAAATTCTTACTGCCTAAAAAAATGTGGTTTCTGCATATTGTATGCATTAATGGTAAATTGCGTAGAAGTTTTAGTTTACACTGAGGCCCTTATTTTATTTACTGCTATGGTTTGGATGTGGTTTGTCCTCACCAAAACTCATGTTGAGGCTTGGTCCCCAGTGTGGTGGTGCTGGAAAGTGGTGCCTTTATCTTTCTCAGGAGACTGGGTTAGTTTTTGTGGGAATGGATTAATTCTCTTGAGAGCCGGTTGTTACAAAGTGAGGTTGCCTTTTGTGTTTTATCTTCTGCACTTGCCTGCTTTCCACCACAAGTTGAAGCAGCATAAGACTTCACCAGATGGGCCACCTGATCGTGGACTTCTCAGCCTCCAGACCATGAGCCAGAATAAACTTTTCTTTTTCAATTACCCAGTGTCAGGTGTTCTGTTATAGCAACAGAAATGGAATAAGACACTTACTTTCTTTGTATGCAACTTAATCTCTTCTGGAATCTTTTAAGGACCTGATGTAGGAGCTGGGCTGTTTTAAGTAAGCTGTTGATAGAAATTTCTGCACTGTATTTAGAAAACTAAGTGAAAACAAAAAAGTAAGTATGTGTACGGGGAGGATAACAGTAAAATAATGCTTTGACTTATTAGCACTCACTCCCTCCCATTTACCCCAAGGTATCTTCAGTTGTCTGGAACAATGAATGTAGAAAAATTGAAGAAGTGCAGAACAGTTACCAAAACAGCTGAGTGGAATCAAGAGACAAGGTAACAATATAGGATGTTACTGATGATTTTTTGAAAGCAGAAAGAAAAGAATGCCTTCTGTGGATATTGAAGGCGATGAAAAATAAGCCTGACTAATATCAAAGGCATGGAAGGAGAAAAGGACAGCAAAAGTAGTGACAAATTAGAAAAGAGGGTACTGGGATGCAATCTGGTTAATAGGGGAAAATCACTAGGAAGGGAGAGAGAAGGAATAGAACTTACAGCGTGTCAGTTTCTGAGGATGTTTTATTTATTTATCTGTGAATGAATGAATGATGGGGTCTTGCTCGGTTGTCCAGGATGGAGTGCGATGGCCTGATTATAGATCACTGCAGCCTCAAACTCCTGAACACAAGCATCCTCCTGTGAACCACCTGCTTTAGCCTCCTGAGTAGCTGGACTACAGGCACATACGTGCATGCCACCACACCTGGCTAATTTTAATTTTATTTTTTGTAGAGATGACATCAAGGTATATTGCCCAGACTGGTCTGGAACACCTGGCGTCAAGAGATCCTCCTTCCCCAGACTTCCAAAGTGTTGGTATTATATGTGTGAGCCACCATACCCAGCTCTGAGGATGTTTTAAAAACACTCTATGATAAATCATCTTCATGATGATTCAGACATTAATTAAAGTTTAACTTGTGTCTAGTAGACTGTTTACTAGGGCAGCAGTATATGTAATACTTTAGAATGATTTTCATCAAAACTAATTCTTAGGAAGCTGTAATAGAGCTAAGTTTTACCTTGAATTACATAAGACTTTCCTGAATGCACGTCCCCACTAGCCTAGATCCTTTATTTTTTATTTTTATTTTTTTTTTTAGTGACAGGGTCTTGCTATGGTCTCAAACTCCTGGCCTGGAGTAATCCTCCTGCCTCAGCCTCCCAAGTAGCTGGGATTACAGGCACACCACTGTACCCAGCTGGCCCAGATCATTTAAATGTTACATTTTTAATGAACAGTTGACCCTTGAACAACACTGCATTTTAACTGCACAGGTTCACTTCATATTTGGGTTTTTTCCACCTCTGCCACCACTGAGACAGCAAGATCAACCCCTCTTCTTCCTCTTCAGCCTACTCAACATGAAGATGACAAGGATGAAGACCTTTATGATGATCCATTTCCACTTAATGAACAGTAAATACATTTTTCTTATGATTTTCTTAACATTTTTCTCTATAAGAATATGGCATATAATACATACAAACATAAAAAATAATGTGTTAATTGATTGTTTATGCTATTTGGTTAAGTCTTCCAGTCAACAGTAGACTATGAGCAGTTAAGTTTTTGGGTGGTCAAAAGTTGTACACAGGGCTGGTTCAAAGGTAGTGAGTTATCTCAATTGACAGTCAGTTACAGATTGACTTCCTTGCTCTTCTCTTTCCCCCCTTCTCACTACTACATTCAAGTAGTCTAATAAAAAAAAAATTAAAAAGTTATATGTATATTTTTGACTGCATGGGGTCAGCACTCCTAATTCACACATTGCTCAAGGGTCAACTGTATTAATTAGGCTTTTTGTTTAGCCAATGTGGATATTCCTGCCTTTATGGAATGGGCCAATTATGGAGCATATAAAATGCCATGGTAAGACCAGATACTTCAATGGAAAAAATCAAGTAGATCTCTGGAAGGTTTCAGAGCTCTGGAACATTTTTCATGCTCTGAGTCTGCCTCACCCCTCCCCTTCTCCCATCAATGGGAGTTACAAACTAATAGCTTTTTTTTTTTTTTTTTTGAGACGTAGTCTCACTCTTTTGCCCTGGCTAGAGTGCCGTGGCGTCATCCTAGCTCACAGCAACCTCAAACTCCTGGGCTCAAGCGATCCTACTGCCTCAGCCTCCCGAGTAGCTGGGACTACAGGCATGTGCCACCATGCCCGGCTAATTTTTTCTATATATTTTTAGTTGTCCAATTAATTCCTTTGTATTTTTTTTAGTGGAGACGGGGTCTCGCTCTTGCTCAGGCTGGTTTCGAACTCCTGAGCTCAAACGATCCGCCCGCCTCGGCCTCCCAGAGTGCTAGGATTACAGGCGTGAGCCACCGCGCCCGGCCCACAAACTAATAGCTTTTTTACTGTTGTAATATGTTAGTATTTTCTTGATCTAGATTTTCTTTACATCAGTTATTATGTAAATCACTGAACATCTATGGAGTATATTTTGTATGCCACACACTGTACCAGGGATTGGTTAGAAAGAGGACAAAGATATGGAACTCAAATCTTAGAGGAGAGGTCTGTAAATAATTACAATGTCATACTACAGTAATAGAAACCTGTATAAAATACAGAAGAAGGGCTGGGCATGGTGGCTCACATCTGAAATCCTAGCACTCTGGGAGGCTGAGACAGAAAGACAGTTTGAGCTCAGGAGTCTGAGACCAGTCTGAGCAAGAGCAAGACCCATCTCTACTAAAAATAGAAAGCTGGGTTGTAGTGGCGAGTGCCTGTAGTCCCAGCTACTTGGGAGGCTGAGGCAGGAGGATTGCTTGAGTCCAGGAGTTTGAGATTGCAGTGAGCTATGATGACGCCACTGCACTCTAGCCAGGTCAACAGAGTGAGACTCTGTCTCAGAAAAAAAAAAGGCAAAGAAGAGAGTGCTCGCCACTCATTTGTTTTTAGAAAACTTACTTAGGCCTAAGTATCCACTGCAAGTCCACACTGAAAATGTTAGGACCTCATCTTGATGTTTGCGGCTGATAACGTTGGGTGTCACCAGTTGTTTTAGCCAGCTATCATTTCATTACTTCAGCTTGAATTTTCAAAAGTTTAAGACTTTAAGCCATGTAATGTGCGATAATTTATCATTTTCCTACACTAATTTTTTTAAATTAAGAAACAGCTAAATTAGGTCTACTATTTTCCTTTTTTGTAGATGTTGAAGAATATTGTACCACTCTATCCAAGTGAGAAATTTTATTCAGACATATTTCAGGAAAAGCTTTACTTTACCTGAGAAATCAATTTGCCTTTTCCATATGGACAATGCAGATCATTAACTGGTTATCTTCAATTTTTGCTGTAGTTTTGAGAAATATCAGATTAAAATTTTAAAATTATGTAGCACTAGGTGGCCTGCCTGTCTCTATTCTAAATTTCTGTTGTTGATCTTCTGTTTATATTTTTCCAGAATCTGACGTTTATATTTTTTTCCTTTTGTTCTTATAAACTGCCTCAAATCTCTTGTATAAATAAGAGTAAATAATAATTTTTTAAAAAATTGCTTTATTTTGAGGTGTGATGATAAGCCCCAACAGGAACCTTTTGGGGCTAGGATCCAGTGAAATGGATGCCTCCCCAAGTGGAATTGCTGAAGAGTAGAAACACTACACATAGAAATTACATCTAGGGTTGGATCTGCTGACCTATCTGGAAGAACGGAGTTTGAATGAAAGCTATCATCTCATCTTCATTTTTCTATTAACTAAATAGAGTTAAACTCTTTCCCCACATATACTGGTATGAATAAACACTTAAAATGAAATACTTTTTATTCAAACTAACAACATTACTTTCCAACTTTTCCTCTAGTCCAGTAAGATCTCTAGGAATTAGACTGTGGAAAATGGAGAAATATACCAAAAGCCCACTTTTGGTATGAGAGAATGAATTTTACTTTTAGTCTGAGTTTCTGATTCTTTGTGCTCTGCAACTAATCCAACTTGTACTTCTTTTATGTTGTTCTAAATCCCCCAAACCAGTCTAAAAGATTTTCATATAACATTGCTTCCCTTTGTGCTTTCACTTCAAAGTTGCATCACCACTCAATTTAGCATTTATTTGTTGATAGTGAGATAGCATGATGTAATAGAAAACACATGCATTTTGTATCCCCAAAGATTTCTATTCAAATTATGGATCATGATTTTTAGTGGTTAATGAACCTCTCTGAATTTCAGGTTCCTTTTTTTTTTTTTTTTTTAAGAATACAATAACATCTCCTAATTCATAGGAATGTTATAAGGATAAAATTTGATTATGTTATAGACCTTTACAAAATGGAAGTTATATTAAAAAGTTTTTAATTAACTCTGAAAAGGTATAGAACTTAACTCCCCGTAGGATGTTGCTTTTTTTTTTTTAAAGAAATCAAGTACTCAAAGGTAGGAGTGGGAAGCCAATGCTGAGCAGAACCCCAAATCTGCTCTAGAGTGATTTAGAGAAGACATTTAAAAAAAACATTAATGCCTATAATATATCCAATATGTAGTAGGAGATATAAGAAAAATCAAGATTAATCTTTTAAATGTAAGATTCTTGAGATTTGATTTAATCTTGAATCAGAGAATTTTCTAGATCAGAGATCTCTGTCTCCTAATGTAAACAACAAATAATGCTACTTTTAAATTTCTTTTCCTCCACCTAAATTTACCTATTTGACAAGATGAAGATCAACATGGATTAAAATTTTGGATATAGCCAGTCTGTCATTAGAGAATTAAGAGGTATAGAGACAAAAAAAAAATAGACTTAGGAATACATAGTAACAATAGATGAAAGAAATGCCTAATTGTTATGACATCAAAATACTTTAAATCATTTTCAATAACTTAATTTTAGGAATATCAAAATGCAATGTGTGAAGCCTGGAAATAATCATGCACATAGCTTTTCTAAGATAACCAGTTAAGACAGTGTGTGGGTAATACAAAAGTCATTTCTATTTTTGGAATGCCATTCATACTTTTTCAACAGAATTTTTTTTTTGTAATTCCAAGATTAAAAAGAACCTATAAGGATGATATATTCGGAACCCTGATGCTAAGTAAATGAATGATTATTCTTCCCGATATGCTCTTTTTGTAAATTGTTGCATAAATGAAAACTGCCTACCCTCCCTTGTGCCATTCCACCATTTTAACAATCTGTGGGCCAAAGAGTTATTCTTAATTTTTACTACATTTAGATTCCTTGTTGGAATAGAGAACAACTGTAGTTAACTAATCTTTTAAATTAAACATTCTTTATTTGAGTACAGTACTAGCTCTTACTCTAGTTTCTTGGTATTCCACTTTCTCTTTCAAAAGGTATTTTGCATTCTTATCAATGCTTTTATTATCATTCGCTGTATCCTGTTAAGTTTATTTTCATCTCTCTAAGAATTGCAAGGTGTGGTGGAAGGATTAATTTAGTATTCTTGTTGGTTTTACTTGCCTGTCTTCCCTTTGAGGGCAGTACACTCTTTTATCTGAGCCCCTTGTCTGGCATGTAGAATATATTCAATAAATATTTATTGAATGAGTAAATGTATGTTCTCTTCTCTTTACACATCTTAATAGCATGCTAATCTTCCCTTTTTTGTCAGGTAAGGCAAAAAATTTATCCTTATAGGAGAAAACTGAGCCTTAGATTTGTTTAGTGACTTTCCCATGGTCACAGAGCCACCAGCACTGTTTTGGTGTAGGGATTCCAGCTTGAGAGTTACTACTATATTGCGAAGCATTTCCCCACCTTGTATCTCAAGGCTAAACATTTCAATGTCCTAGATGCAATTTCAGCAGTTTAATGGCATGATTTTTCTCCATGAACTCTGCGTGTGTGTATTTTTAAGCCTCTTTTCCCTCATTTTTTGGCGCTGGAGCTGCTTTCTGTGTCCAATCTCTCATCTCTGTTCCAGCCTCCACATTGCAGCCAGAATCTGCTCTCTAAAATGCAAATGTGATCATGTTACTTCTTTACTTAAAAGCCCTTCAATAGTTCACCACTGTCTGGCAGACGAAGTTTAAACTCTTTGGTGTGCTAAACAAGGCACTCAAATATCTAGCTCCTTCCACTTGTACAGTCTTATCGCTCATCATATCCTCTCTTGCACTCACTTAGCTGGTGGTATCAAACTTCTCACAATTCCCTGAACACAAGAGCCGGCTTCATTGATTCCTCATCCTGGAATTATTTCCCTTACCCAAGACTCCAGGGCTACCTTTGGTATGATGACGCTCTTGACCACACTCGCAGGTAGAACTGATTGCTTTTCTCTGGGTGTGTGTGCATGCACACCCCGACAGACCATATCTTAATGTCTGTATCATTGTGTTGCACTTATTTACGAGTCTCCATGGCCCACCCACGCCCCAGCAAGGCTTCTTCATACCCCCAGATATTCACAGTGCTTGGCACACAGAGATGCTCTCAAAGGGTTGATGAATGCACGCACTGGAAAGAGCTGGGAAGGAGGGAGAAGAAATGGGGAAGAAGCTCTTTAGGAGAATACTAATACTGTTCTGAACATGCAAATGATGAGTTATGAGGAAGGTCAAAACGCAAAAGAGGACCCCTGCCTTAGAGGCACCTCACAGCCTTTTGGAAGGCAAGATAGGCATACTAAACAATTAACATTACGAGGTACTAAGATACGGGTGAAAGTGGCTGGCATAGACAATATCACAGAAACTTAGACACCAAGGAGGCTGGTCTGGGACAGGGCTTAGTTAAGTGACTTTTTCAATGTTAGGCGTTTTCTCGTGCGTTAAACAATTTAATCTTCACAACCGCCCTATGATGAGGATAGTTATCTCCACGTAAGACGAAAAACTATGCTCAGAAAATTTGGGTTGCTCAACATCACAAACTACCTTGTGAAAGAGCCATAATTTGAATTTAGGTCAGCTGTCTCCAGAGTCCTGGTCCTTTCGCAACACCTCCCTCCTCTACGAGTCAGAGCCACTGGGCCCAGGAGTCGCCGCCCCCGGGTCGGCGCCCCGGGAACCCAGCACAGCCGCCGACTCCCGGCCCTCCGCGCTCAGTGCGCCGGCGCGTGCGGCCGCTCCCGCCCCCGGGGAGGGGTGGGGCCGCGTCGCTGCGGGACCCAGGGGCGCGCGGAGGCGGAGGCGGAGGCGGCGCCCGGGCTTCCGGGCGGGTTGTCGGCGGCTCGGGCGCCAGGGCAGCGCTCGCCTAGGTGGTGGGCGGGGAGGGGCGGGAGGGAGGAAGGGAGCGGGCGCGAGGCTGCGGCGGAGGAGGAACTTGTTGCGCTCGCGACTGCGCGCTGCCGCTCCCCCCCGATCCAGTTCGCCCGGGCGGGCGCGGCGGCGGCGGCGGCAGTGGCGATGCGGCGCTACCTGCGCATCGTGGTGCTGTGTCTGGCCTGCGGCTTCTGCTCGCTCCTCTACGCCTTCAGCCAGCTCGCTGTGTCCCTGGAGGAAGGAGCGGGCGGCGGTGGCGGGAAGCCGCAGGCCGCAGCGGCTTCCTGGCTCGCGGGCGGCGGACGCGGCGCCGCGAGAGGCGCGGGCAGCGCGGGCACCGCGGCGCATCCCGGGCGGTCGGACAGGTACGGGCCGCTCCGGGGCTGCGGCTGGGGCGGGGGCGCCGCGCGCGGGGCTCGGCCTGGGCCGCGCTGCTCGCAGTGGGTCCCGCGCCTGCCGCTGCTTTGCCGCCGTCTCTGACCCCTTCACTCATTTCCCTCCATCTCCTCAAGCCGGGGGTGAACTGGGCGCTGCTCCCGCCTGAAAGCATCCCACATTTTTGTGTGGACCCAGTCCTTACGCGCTCTTTAAAGCAGTTAGAAATTTTCAACTTTTTTTAAAAAAGGATTCACTGAAAAATAAGAGGTGCTTGCCTAAGCCTTATTGCTCTCTGGCTAGTACGAATTCCTTCTTGTTTCCATGGAGTTCAAGTTGAGATATTTAAACATCAGGCAGGCGCCCTAATTCATTGGGTTTCCGCCCCCCCCTCCTGAAAGGGGCATCAAATGTTCGTGTGTTAACACTTACAATTTTCATTATTATCCGTGGTTAGTCAAATCTGGACTTGGCATTTGTGCGGGTTGTGAATTTTTCTTTTGGAACCATTTGGTTTATTCTGAAACTTAGAGAAAATTAACAAAAATGAGCGACACTTAGCATGCTCAAGTCTTGTGGTATGGACTGGAGATATCTTTCTTGAGAAATCTGTATTTAAAAAGCAGCGTAATCCCTTACATGGATTTACAGAAATCACTGCGAGAGTTGGAATGAACATGAGATTTAAATGGAAATAAGAATGTTTTTGTCATTGCTTAATAAGAGCTAAAACATTTGCACTGCCTCTATTTGTGGGCATGTCTCTGAAAAGGACCTGAAGTGCTCCCTGTGGGGAGGCAAATGCTTTGATATAGGAAAGTGTGGCTTCCATACGAGAAAGGAGTACTGGGTGAGGAGTAGGCTGTTGTTTAACATCATTCTGAGAGTTGATGGTCATTCCCAGGATGGAAGTGGGAAGTTTGGGTAGAGGAAGTGCGTGAAAAGGCTGGATTGTCATGTTTTCGCCCCATGATTTGATTACACTCATAGTAATTTCCTGCATCAGGGCTCTGTATTCAGTACTAGCAAGAACTATTATACTAAAAGCAGAACTACTTCCAGAGCCAGGTTTATTAACCCTCAGTTTTCTGTCCTGGGAGAGGCAGTGACTGAAGACTTGAATGAGCTCATGAAAAAATGACGGATGGAAGCTAAACCGTTCATGGCCTATTATGTTATTGTGAGGCAGTTATAATTATAGAAAAGGAATTATTTTTATATTGGATAGAAATGTAAGGTAGCAATATTTTAATCAAACATTAAATGAAATTACACTGATATTAGCGTTTCAATTTGATAATGTTCATTTTTAGCGCTCTCAGTTACTTTATTTTGTGACAGTTTTATAAATTATGTTTGCTTGGCCAGCTAATTTTAACGGAATTACTTTACTTGAAATTTAGAAAATAAGAGCCTAGTTTTAATAAATATCTAATAGAGCCATTACTGAAATCTTAAGTTTGATGTGTCAGAGTTGCATCGACTGAAGTGCTGTACTTTTAGGTTTTCTGAGTAGCATTACTTTTTATTTTAAAGGAGGTGTACATTTAGGTTAAAACTAAAGGTGTATCAGTCTTTCTAAAAATGTAATAAAGAACATTACACCATATTTGCATGCATAAAGAAACTTCCAGCAGAGCAACAACATAGGAAAGCTAGATTGTCACTTTTCTTACCCTGTGATTTGATGGTCAGACAAATTCCTGAGAGCTCAGCAGTCTTTTTATTTTAGATACCATTTATAATATCTTTATAGAGATCTCACAGAGTTAAATCAACTTTTTTGGCTACTGTGTGATATGAAGTAGGTCTCCTTAATCTCTCTGTGTATAAATTATTTGGCCAAGATCTAAAGGGCATCAGAAATTGGAACAGGACTGGAAACTGTGTATCCTTTGATTGCTATACAAGAGCTCTTTCTATAAAGAAAAATAAGGGTCTAGTCCAGATAGTGGACTCAGGGGGCAGTGGGGGCTCTGAGGCAAGGCAAGAGGCAAGTCCTCTTTTCTGTAGGACTTGAATATCATTGCATTCTTGCCTTTTTTGATTTCATCTTACCTGAAAGAGTGCAACTATTATTTATTTCTTTCATTTAAAACATGGGACCTAGGGCCAGGCGCGGTGGCTCACGCCTATAATCCTAGCACTCTGGGAGGCCGAGGCCGGTGGATCACTCAAGGTCAGGAGTTCGAGACCAGCCTGAACAAGAGCGAGACCCTGTCTCTACTAAAAAATAGAAAGAAATGATCTGGACAACTAAAA